TCAGCTGTCTTGGCTTGTGTCCTGCCATGAACACTTTGTGACATTCTCATGAGGACCACATGTATGCCGAGGGCATTCCAAACTGAGAGAAGTGGGTTGATGCAGTTAAGACGATGGAACTTACGGTGTTAGGCATTCATATGTAGGTGTCCCCCAACCAGATGTGACCATGACTTGTCCAATGAGTGTGACAATGGGTGCTTTGTCTTTATAGCACATACATAAAATTGTTTAACTCAGGGTATTTAAGGAAAGGTGGGTCTTGGGGTTGTGGTGTCTGGTGACACTGCCCAGGTTGGCCAGCTTCACTTAGGGCAATGCTTGGGAACACACTCATTTTTACACAGGTGTACTCTGTCTCCACCGCTACACTCTTCACTTATTCTGTAGTTTGGGATGATGTTGGCTACATTTGGGAGATCTAAGCACAACTGAGTGAGTTGCCCATAGGGAGGAACACTGAAGCTGGTTGGGTCCTGGCCATGGTCCTGGAGCTGGGAGCTGGGATCATTTCCAGGTCATGCACATGGTGTCCTCCTCAGTCTATGGGCACTCTGGAGGATGGATGTCTGAGGGACTTAGAGCTAGAGAAGGCATCTTTACAAGCTTCCCTGGCATGCTGCAGTTGGAGTGTTCCCTGTTTTCTTCTGAGGTATTGACTAGAGGTGACCTTTTCGGGGGGTGGGGTGGTGTTTGAGACAGAACCTTACCAGTAGGCCACAGCCTTGTGGTGATTCACAGATTAATAGAAATGGGTTAATATAAGATGTCAGAGTTAGCTAGAAGTATGCCTAAGCTATTGGCCAAACAGTATTGTAATTAATATAGTTTCTGTGTGATTATTCAGGTCTGAGCAGTGGGGGAAATGAAAGCACAGTCTGCCTACAAGTGATGCCCTAATGGCTGAGGCTAACACTCATGGTCTGCCTTCCACTTCGGGTCCCGGTTCTTGTACACCCACTCAGGGTAAGGAGGAAAGTAGCTGAGAGCATGCCTGCTGCTCAGCACCCCTGTGTGAGCAAACAGCTGGATGGGGTCTTCTAGGTGCGCATACTCCTTCCCAGAGTTGAGATGTTGAGTGCAGCTTCTACGAGGCGGTCCCAGAACTGGCGGTAAAGGTACCTCTACCATATTGAAAGACTGAGAAAGGCGGAGCCAGCATCTAGGGCTGCTGTGAACACACTGCTTACCATTTTAAAATGCTTCTTATCAGAAAAGTATTTCAGATAGGACAGATTCAGACATAAAAGACCTCTAAATGATAAAAAAAAAAAGACCTCTAAATGAGACACAGTATATTAAAAAAAATGTACATAGGCTTGGGAGAGAGAAGAAAAAGTATAAGCAGTTATAAAATGAAGTAAAGTCTTTAAAGAGACAGTAAAAGTAATATAAAAGTACAGCCATAGATTAAAGGAGTAAAGAAAAATAAGTAAAGATGAAGTATACACAGAGTCTGGATTATGTATATTGTTATGTTTCTTTGAATCTTTTGACTGCAGAGAGATACTTGATTCTGGGGGCTGCTGTTAAACCAACATATATATTTTAAAGGTATCTTGACTTCAGAATTTGGGTCTAAGGATTTGCTGCTTTGGAAAAGCGGTTCTGCTTTTGTTTCCACAGAGGATAGAAAGCTGTGGATTCCTTACTAGCCAATACGGTTGATCAAACAAGGCCTCTTGAAGCAATGGCCCAGAGGGTCCAACATCCATGACAGCTTTAGGACTGCTGGCTGAGATGGACCTGCTACATAAGATACCCCACGAAAGACTGATTAACAGCATCCCAGTCAGCAGGAAGTAGTCTAGAGGACAATGCCTAAATTCCCTAAATGATTGTTTATAAATGTTTATTTACATTTAAAGGGGATATGTTATAGTGATGAATACTTTGTATTGGTATGGATTTTGGTTTATTGATATAAATTTAAGGTCAGTTTTGTTATATGTATATTTCTGCTCTTGATTAATGGTTTATGTAATTCATTTGAAAATGTAATGTATAATTAAGAAATGCAGATTAATAGACAGTCTATAATAGTCAAGCTTATAGTCCATGTTAGGTTTTCTAGATGTACAGAGATAAGTTTCAGAATTCAGATGGATAGGTATTCTTCAAACCTTTCAAAGACCAACAGAATATGGCATTTAAAATGTTTTAAGAACTTAGGACTTTTCATGACAATGGGGCATATCTGCTCCTGGCAGCACCAATTACTTCAAGAGGATGATGGGCATTGAAGAAGCTGCTATGGAGTTTGTTAGCCTTTTGGACAAGAAACTGCTCTTGACTGGACTGCTTGATGGTGTGCTGTTTCAACTGGAAAAATGACTGCTGAACTTGCCTAAAGGTGAGACAGTCCTTCAGGATTCCTGCTTCATGAAAGAGTCTGCCAGACATTCTGCAGGATACAGAAGAAAGTGACTGACAAACTCCCAATAGAGGTGAAATGGTCTTTCAGATTTCCTGCTTCATAGAAAAGTCTGCACAGATATTATAGGTCTGTAGGCTGAAAATGGATGCCCCAATGTTACAGAAGAACTTTGGGTGACTGTCCAGGCAGTGAGATGTCTCTGTCAATTCTAGAATTTTGGAAGTTGCTTACAATGCACTTCCTTTTAACTTAGGTAATATATCCTTCTGGGGTCTTTGATGGAGTTATGATTAAAGATAAAGTATATATAAATATTGTAACTGTAAGTCTTGCTGATAGTTATTTTGTTATATGTAATTTTACTATGTTAAAATTAAAACCTTCCTTTTTATTTAGAAAGAAAAGGGGAGATGATGTGGGATTCCCCTCTGTATGCTATGAATATGTTATATTACCATTGATTATTAAAGAAGCTGTTTCATCCAGTGGCTTAGTAGAGTAAAGCCAAGCAGGAAATCTGAACAGAGATACAAAGAGAAAGTAGGCAGAGTCAGAGAGATGGCATGTAACTGCTGAAGGAGAAAGATGCCAGCTGCCAGCCAGAACCTTACCAGTTCTGAGGTATTGACTAGAGGTGACCGGTGACACTGCCCAGGTTGGCCTGCCTCACTTAGGGCAATGCTTGGGAACACACTCATTTTACACAGGTGTACTCTGTCTCCACCGCTACACTCTTCACTTATTCTGTAATTTGGGATGCTGTTGGCTACATTTGGGAGATGTGATAACCTCATGGTGATTCACAGATTAATAGAAATGGGTTAAGATATAAGAGTTAGCTAGAAATATGCCTAAGCTATTGGCCAAACAGTGTTGTAATTAATATAGTTTCTGTGTGATTATTCAGGTCTGAGCAGTCAGGAAACGAAAGCACAATCTCTGCCTGCAGACAGGTCTCTACATAGCTGAGACATTCCTGGCTGTCCTGGAACTAACTGTTTAGCTCAGGCTGGCCTCAAGACTCAGAGATCCACTAGCCTCTGTTTGGGATTAAAGCTGTAACTTATTTTTTGTTTTTGGTGAGAGGGTTTTGCCTATGTAGCCCTGGCTGTCCTGGGTTTTATTCTGTAGACCAGGCTGGCCTTGAACTCAGAGATCTTCCGCATCTGCCTCCTAAGTGCTAGAATTAAAGGCATGTGTCACCACTGTCTGGCTTAGTTGTTCTTTTTGAGAAAAAGTTAAGTAGTCCGAGCTGGTCTCGAACTCCTTATGTATTCTGACCTTGTATTTCTACTGTTCTATGCTGGCATTACAAGTGGATGCTGCCCTACCCTCTTTTATTCCATGCTGGGATTTGAAACACAAAGCCTTCCATTGAGCAAGTTGCTAGGCAAGCACTCTGCCAACTGAGATACACCAAAGCCTCTTCACAGTGACTTTATTTTTGAAAAGGGAACTTAAGGGGTTGGAGAAATGACCCAGCTGTTAAGAGCACTGGCTGTTCTTCTAGAGGTACTGAGTTCAAGTCCCAGCAACCACATGGTAGCTCATAACCCTTTGTAATGGGATCTGATGCCCTCTTCTGATGTGCAGTCATACACACAGACAGAGCATTCATATTACAGAGAGAGAGAAAGAAAAGGAACTTAAAATTTGCTAAGGGATTTTCCAGGAGACCTGGGTAGGCTTCTCTGCATCCAGATTGTGTTCGACTGGGCCGTGGGTATCTAGCTGGCAGGGGCTGTCTTCTAAGGCAGTAATACCCCATCCTTCTGGAGCATTATGATTCTCCTGAGGGGGGGGGGGACAGTGGGCTAGGTCTCTGCTCTTTTTAAAATTATTGTTGTTGTTATTTTTATTTTGGTTTTTCGAGACGGGGTTTCTCTCTAGCTTTGGAGCCTGTCCTGGAACTCACTCTGTAAGATCTGCCTGCCTCTGCCTCCTGAGTGCACTGCCACTGCCCGGCTTAAATTATTTTTTTTTGAAATAATAATAAAATTACATCACCCCTGCTTCCTCCCTCCAAACCTTCCCATATAGCCCTCCTTGTTCTCTTATCTGTGCTCTCTTCTTGGTAAATAGGACTCCTTATCCAGGAGGACAGGAGAACATAGGTAGGACTTGCCTCAGGGAACCTAATTCTACCCACTCTCTCTGCCCTGTCGTGTGGAGGAGTCCTGTGTTCTGCTTGCCTGCCCCGAGCGAAGGATTTCCATATTTGGACCCTTTGGGCTACCTGTTTGGTTGTGTCCCTGTGGGCTAGAAGTGTTGAACATCTAGGTCCAGGACAGAAAGCTCAGTGTGTTCAGGGCCTCAATTGGCTCCAGGAGGGGGCTGTTTAAATCTCAGAAGCTGAAAAGCCCTGAGAACACTGAATCTTGGTGTTTTTCAAGGGAGGGAAGCCTTGGGGACAGACCTCCTGGACTTACCTGGAAATTTCAAATTATGGGCAACAGAAAGCCTTAGCCTAAGAATCTGGCCTGTCAGAGAAGGACCCATAGGGTTCGGAGGAGCCTGTCTAGGAGGGGCCTGAGTTGGGTAGAGTGGGGCGGTAGAGCCCTGGGAGACCCGCCCCTTGAATACATCTCGGGGCCTCAGCACTCAGGACAGTGTGCACATCTGGGCAGCTGGTGGGAGCATGAACAGCTCACAGATGGGAGCTGCGGCCCAGGCTGCCTGGCTGAGCTGCTGTAACCAGTCTGGGTTGCCAGTCCAGCCGCCGCAGGGACCACGACTGGTGCAGGCGGTCGTCCTGGGCGTGCTGTCACTTCTGGTGATCTGCGGGATCCTGTTCCTGGGCGGTGGACTCCTCCTCCGAGCACAGGGCCTGATAGCACCACCAACTCGGGAAAGGCACGCATCTCCCGAGACAGAGCCCGGTGCCTGTGGAGGGGATGACTCCTAGGTGTCAGCCTGTCTTGAGAGGCTCAGCCCCTTCTGTGCCCTCCAGAGCCCATTTCTGTGGAGCACAGTGGAAGGTCCATCCCACAAACTCCTGTCTCCTGCATAGGTGAGCGCCATGAGGCCTAGGGAACGTGGGGGTGGGGCTGGAGGGTCCCTTCGCCTCTGATCATCTCTCCCACCCTGACTGTCCTCTACAAACAGACAGCCTTGTGCTCCCTCAAGCTTAAAGGAAGAGACCGGCATGGCCTGGTGATGGGAGTTCTTTTCTGGTACCGTGTGTTTCCCCATCCCTGCATCTGCCCAGTCCAACGTGCAGTGTGCTGGACTCAGCTGGAACCTTTGTACTGGAGACTAATTCAGCCAGGCCTTGGCTATCAGCTCGCTGCTGTCCCCTCCATGAAGCCTTTGTTCATGACGGGAGTGGGGAGACCAGGGCCAACCAAGCTGAAGGTGGAGGGGGGGGAGAGCCTTCACTCCCATTGGAGAGGAATCCCTTCTTGTTTGGGGGAACCTTGCAGGTAGAGAGGTGTGGCAAGACCTCCTCCCCTGCCCCCTGCCCCTGGTAGCTCAGGACCAGCTGTGTGTTGGGGGTGGTGGCGGCAAGGCTCCTGGCAGGAGCTGATGCTGCAGGAAGTAGAAGTGGGGCCGAGGATCCAGCTGTGGGGCTCTTTCTGGGTCTCTGTCTCTATGTCTCTAAGGACGGGGACCAGCTGGAGAGAAGGGCCTGGGTGGCCAAAGACAGAGTAACCCCAGTCCAAGGCCACCTCAGACTGAGCCATGAAGGGGGGTGCTGTGTGGGACGCCTGGGGACTTCTGTGAGAGGCTCTTCCTGGCCACTCTCACCCCTCCTGCTCTCACGTTACCACCAAGAAGGCAGTGGTGCAGGGTGCCCGTGGGGATGACCTGGTGAGGGGCTGAGGGTGTGGGCAGGTGCAGCTAAGCAGCTGTGAAGCCGACAATGTGTGATCCTTGCTTAGCAGCTAAGGGTTTGGCACCAGTCCTGGCCAGCCGTGCCACCCTGGCCTTGAAAATGGCAGATTACGTCAAAGATGCCTCCCCCATTGCCTTGGAGTGAAGATAGTCCAGGTCAGGGCAGTGTGTGCGTCTGTGCGTATGCATGTGTGTGTATATGCATGTGCACGTGTGTGTGCGCACGCGCGCGCACACACATGTGCATGCTCCTGGCATCAGGGTAGTGGGCAGCGGAGCCCAGGGCACTGTCCCCACTCACTTCCCTGGTGGTGGGCACCAGAGAGCTCCTGACCAGGTTCCCCTGAGCCTACCATCTGATACCCTCTGTTGCGGTCTCCCTCTGTGTGCCTCCTTCCCTTCCTCTCTCTCTAAATCCCTGCAAACCCCTTCACTGGCAAACAGGGAAGCTCAGAGAACGTTGAGAGGGAAAACAGACCCAGGAGACTGAGTGTGGAACCTGGAGCCCCGTGGTGCAGTTCCAGCTCTGCCACGTCCCTGAGTGTGTCATGTGGGGCTCTAGGTTCCAAGCTCAGTCTCCTGGGTCTGCTCTCCCTCTGCTTCCCCACAGCTCTGTGAGATGCTGGCAGGAGACATGGCTTCCCTTCCTGCCAGAAGGGAGCTGTTACAGGCACACATGCAACGTTCAGCTTGACCTCAACCCTAAGCGTCATTGTCCCTGAACCCTCTTGTCCCTACTTCTTCAGTGGCCTTGCCAGATTCCGTTTTGGTCCTAGAACAGTCTTCAGATGCCAGGAGACAAGTCCTTACCAGCTGGGCGCAGCTTTCCTGGTTTGAACCTGAGGAATGGGGAGGGCCTCAGAGGATTGCTGAAGTAAACATGGATGAGAAAGATCCAAACCAAGTCCCTGTGGTGTTAGGGATGTGTGGCGAATTGGATGGCAGGAGAGGCTCTGTCTCCAGCACCGTCTTGTCTGCTCACACCCAGGACTGTGACAGAGCTGGGAGAGGGGGTAGGCCAGCTTCCTGCCTTTGATGTCCCTTGGACTCAGTGTTTGGAATGGGTACTGTGTGTTCAGAAGTTCACTACAGATCTCTGATCAAGGCTATTGGGTGGGTGGGGAAAAAGAGGGGTTTGCTGTAGTAAGCTCCTTTCAGAGTGGAAAGAAGGGGAGACTGGAGGGGGTCTGAGGGACAGAGGAGCGGCACCTTGGCTCCCATTGCACTCTGTTAGCCTGAGCCTGTGTGACCATGGCTGGGGCAGCTGACGGACTGGCACCCTGCCCTACCCTGTCTGTCTGATCTCAGCTAACTGCCCAGTTCCCACCAGTCAAGATAGGGGCACCATGTCTTACAGATGCTGGAGCCAGCTGTGACTCTCAGAGAGCTCTCCCTCCACCTGCCAGCGCACCAGGGAACCCACCTGCCACCCACCCTCACCCCAGTTGTGATGCAGATGATGGACTGAAGATACCTGGACTGTGGTGACTCTGCACTCTGGGACCCTAGCACTCAGTGCTGCCTCTGAGCTGTTCCCTGACACCCGGGGTTGGTCCAGGAGACCCAGGCTCCAGGAACACTGAGTCTACAGTGACTGCTCTCTGCTCTGGGCACTGAATGACTTTTCCCCCCAACCACTTGGACGCTAGAGTGTCCTCTGCCCACCAGGCCCCTGTGGACATGAGTGAAGCGCCTGTCCTGCCTGATGCTCGACAGTAGTGTCCTACATCCCAGCAACCTGTTGTAACCTGCTGCCGCTGAGAACCATAGGTTAGACCCTCCCATTGGGAGAGAGCATCAGCCACCCAGCAATATGCCATCACTTTCCATGGCTTGCTATTAAACAGGCCAGCAATATAGTTCTGAGTGTGTGGTCTGTTTCCAGCCCTTGGCCTTGGGATTCCTAGTTTGTCTCCTTGCTCCCCTTCCATTTTCCTGCTTCTAGCAGACTGTTTGTTTATTTCTTATGTATTTAGTTATCGAGATAGGATTTTACTTCAATAGCCCCAGCTGACCTGAAACCTACTGTGTGCTCTAGGATGAACTTGAACTCGCAGTAATCCTTCTACCTCAGCCTCTCAGGGATTACAGATGGCGCCACACAGCTGGTTTAGAACCAAGAGTTTGTGAGGGTGGGTGTGACGTGGGGTGGAGGTGACTCTAGTGCCCAAATGTGGTCGCACCCTGACCTCTTGGTCAGTGTGATCAAGAGTTTGGCTTTATTCAACCTCCGACAAGAGCTGGGGAGGGGCACCTCTTCTATGTGGCTCCCATAGGCTCACATGCTTGCTCCCCAGTTGATAGAACTCTTTGAGAAGGATTGGTAGGTGTGGCCTTGCTGGAGGAGGTGTGGCCTTATGGAGGAGGTGTGTGACTGGGGGTGGACTTTGAGGTTTCAGAAGACTTTAATTATTCCCAGTTAGCACTATCTCTGCCTGGTCCTTGTGCCTCAGGATGAAAGCTCTCAGCCGCTGCTCCAGCGCATGCCCACTGTGTGCAATGAAAGCTCTCAGCCGCTGCTCCAGCACCATGCCTGCTTGTGTGTGATGAATGCTCTCAGCCACTGCTCCAGTGCATGCCCACTGTGTGCGTTGAAAGCTCTCAGCTATGGCTCCAGCGCATGCCTGCTGTGTGCTGCCATACCCTCCGTTCTCATGGCCATGGATTCATCCTCTGAAGCTGTAAACCCCAATAAATGCTTTTTTTAAGTAGTTGTTTTGGTCATAGTGTCTAATTATAGAAATGGGGGCACACTTCCCACTCCCTTATCTTCAGGAAAATAGGAGATGACCCAGGCTT